TCTAGATCGACGATCGGAAGAATGGTAAACTTCGAAATTTTTCTTGCAGACAAAATGAATAACATTATCTGCCTTGCAATGATTTAAAGTATTCTGCCCAAAGTAGTTGGAAAGACATCTTGGCGTAATTGATAGACAGACATATAAAGATGCAAGCTTTTGGATACAAAGTTGGGTTGACGAAGGTCAGGCAGGGAGGAGTTTTCAGTTGATCAACTTAGGTAAATTATGAGATTTCGATAGTACGAAAACCAGCAGCATTTTACCTAGCAGATCCAAAATCTTTCAAAAGACAAATTCTGTTGGGGCCACAGTTGATGTTTTTAGAAATGCGTTATATAGAGCCAAAGGAATGAGAGGTAATACGTCAGATTTATTAGTGAATACAACTTTTTTTAGTAGTAGCAGTAAAAACGTTCGGCGAGTTCGTAAGAAGTTGAGTGGTACACCGCTATCCGAAAATAAAAACAATGAAGATCCCTAAGATGAGAAAGATGAATGCTGAGCACAAAACTTTGAGGACACTGCATAGCGGCTCCCAAATTTCAAAGAATGTGCACACAGCCCTTTCGATCAGACTGTCTTCGGGGGCGATGACTATCAATGGCCATAAAAAAATATTCATGATGGATAAATCCACGAGGCGGAGTAATCCGAAGGATGTTAGCATGCAAAGATTGAAAATGCGCGTTAGGGAGCCTAAATTCTTCTTAGGACAATATGCTGCAAAGACAACTTTATTACTCTGGCAGTAAAAAGAGATTCGCTTAGTAATCCACGTCCTCAGGCCAGACAAAACGGACGTTCTAGCATGAATAAAAAAGGATAGGATAATAACAGAAGCTTTCAAACCTATCGGGGAATGCATCACTTGGTGGTGACGTGTTAATACCGGACATTTTTCAGAAAAAAACAAGGAAGTAAACTCATACGTCTTGAGAAGATTATAATTAGTATTTGCTGTGTTATAAAAATTCAACGCACAGTTATTATTAATGAGAAGAAATTTTGAAGAGCAAACCTTAGTGATGCAAGTTTATTAAGTTAATTTAAATGAGTGTAGTTGGCTTTAGAAATCTAAGTCAAGGGAATCTGAAGGAAAGCGATCAGTGTCCAATTTTCTGACGTTCGATGCTCTCAGTGGATGTAATGATGAAAGTACAGAATTAATTCTTGTGAATTTCTATGCACTTCACTTGATTTACTTTGGCGTGTTCGGGCGATTAGTCGAGATTGTGATTGTGAATTTTATGCGGAGTTCGCTGGTGACATTTGTATAAAACAGCAGCTGCTTAGTCATTTTCTAAATTCAATTGCACACAAACACACACACCGATTTTCCACGCTGTCAAGCACACAAGGTAGACGTAATTTGAACCACATGCTGAGGTTCAAATTAAAAAAAGAACCACCATCAATTATATCATGCGAGTGGCAAGGAATTAGTTTGCAACATTTGCCTTAACGCACTGTCTTGTTCCACGTTTTAGAAATCTTTTTACTCAACCAAATAGTCCTTCATATAGCTCTAAGTAATGTGCTATTGTAGTCACCAAGACAATTTGGGAAAAAATTTTAAAGGCGATTGTGTGGAGACATGTTCCAACCATTCCTTTATTTTAACATTTTCCTTCCAGCTCTGTGGATACTTCTAAGAAGCAATGTGGATTGACAGTATGTTTCGCTTTAGTGCTTTGTACAAAGGCCAGAATTCTCATTGACTAAATGCAAAACAATATGCTCGGCTACTTGCTTATTGTCCGATGTCAATTCGGAAAAAAAGGTAATAAATCCAATGAATATATTAAATTTTGGCATTCATGAGGTGCATTTCGGCATTATATTCTTCCTTTTCTTAACATTCAAACTGTTTTTGCGTGCTTCGTTTGAATGCCACTAGACAAGTGCCTTGATTACCCAGCAAAACATCTTTCACAATGTAGGAGTTGTGAGCAGACATCAGCACCAAGAGGCCGTCGATGCTGTAACTATTCACAAAGCAATACGCTCAGAAGGCTTTTGTCTTGTCCGGTATTCACACGAATTCAACGAAACATTAGCATTCAGTTGACGAAATTTGGCCAGTAAGTTTCCACCCATAATATCTTGTGCTTAGCCTGCAAGTTGCCACGATACATGAGATGACTTGTCTATTCAAATGGGAGATTACATTCACTTATCTACTATTACTTTGACGCAGAAAACAATGTCTCGATAAATAATTCAGGTTTTTCACGGCTGATTAGGGTTTCTTGATATTTTTGTAGGAGCCTTCAGGCAGTGCCTAGGGTGGTGTGTGAGCATATTTCGCACAACTACAGAATCGTCCGAATTCCTCTATTTTTACACTTTTAGTAAAATATTTTTCGTAGCGCTTTGATTTGGAAAAGAAAGAAGGCCTGTGGTGACACAAACCCAAGCAGGTTTTCTCGTTTGAATTCGATCATGGTTATGAAATGTTGCGTGTGAGTAAAAGTCCGGAACACTGTGGTCTCACCTGTTTATAATCGTCGTAAGAACTACACCAGGACGTGTTTGCCAAGCAAACTGTCCAAAGAGTTAGGGTTAGGCAAGGAGAAATAAAGGAATTAGAAATTGCTACCAAAATAATGCTCTATTTTTAGTAAGTTTGCTCACGCCTCAATGTAATTCTGACTAACTAGGAGAAACCATGGTGTGAAGGTTCCAATGGTGCATATCTATTACGGCTGGTGAATTTGCTACCGATCGAAATGCAAAAGGATGAAGATATTTTCTGAGTAGATAGCCTTACTCAAAGCAAATCCTGTGTGACACTAATTCGTCCGCAGAGAGTAATTTATGCCATCGATTGGTAGCGAGTTAGCACTCCCCCAATGTTATGCGAGATGGACAATAGCAACCAACGCTCCCCAACTCTTAGGGGACCAAAAGGTGTCAGTTGTAGCAAATAGATCACAGGGGTCTATAGGGAGACTGTAGCGGACTGTCAGCGGTCGTGCCTGTTTACTGACCTGATCGTGTCACTGAGGCATCACCATCAGTCGCCTGTCATCCGCTCACCCATCCTCATACAAAACCACATCTGGCAGGCCTGACGCTATCAAGTTGTCGTATCCGCTGTCCCCGCATTGTCTCTCTTTCCCGGCTTTGAAAGTAATGCTAACTAGAGGGTTGTACGGGAGTGACAGCAAGCTACTACGCCGCCAACCAATGATTAAAATCGACTAAAACAAAAAGTTTGCAGCACAAAACTTTTGACACTTGAAAAAATGACATGTGAACGGCCAAGCATTTTCGATGCCCGTTTTTAATTTATTAAGATGAACCACATAAGGAATGTTAGTCAATGGCCACAGACGAAAGCCACCAGCAACATAACGAATGCCAAGTCTGACGAGATCAATTTTCTGAATCACCCAGTACTTAGTATTGAAAATTGGGTGCTGAGCATAGAAAATTATGCATTTTCGGATTTACATGCTTTTTGTCTTCAGTTGTGGTGTTGAAGCCACGAACTCGCCTTCATGCAGTCTCCATTAAAGCCTACGGTACTGATCGACTGCAAGGTATTGTTGTGAATCGTGTTTATTCACATTCCTTAACCCGGTCGCTCCACCTCCGACACAGGGCTCCCCTTTTCGCAGCATGTCGCCAGCCATGCGGATCCTCAACTCCCCCCTCATTCTTATGGATATTTATCTTCGACTATCCTCACACCTGGGTCTCGATGTTAGCGCATGTATGACTCACACATCCAAAGTATAAACACACGCTCAAACCCCACGCACGACACAACGACACCAACGTGGTTGACCTCTGAAGTAAACGGTTGTGTCCACGTCCTCTCCGGTCTTTTTTTCATCGCGGGTATCAGGGAAACGTAATCGGGCCAGGGTTAATTCCGTGGCCCCGGCGTGGTTCAAGACCACATGCTGGGGCTCACAACAATATAGTTCACAGAGATTAACAGCAGAATCTTAGGCTCGGTGGCGCACCCTATTCCGGCAGTACAACAGTCTCAGACAAATCTGTTTGACAAATTTTCGAGAAAATTTGAACTCTAAATCATCGGAAGTTGGCTAAACCAATGAAGTGCAATGGGGGGTACAACAAGTCGAGGCTTGTGGAAAGCATCACCACTGATGACACCCTCATCCTGGGAATTGGGACCATGAAGACCTTATCAACTGCAATTATTGTGGAAGCTGACAGCTGATTAACGCATATACGCCGACAAAATACTAAAAAAAACTGAACGAGGCTGCTAGACAGAAGTAACCTGACCTCCAATGGCGAGCGATTCTATGCGATGGCAGCGCCCAATCATACGCAGCACAAATCATTAAGGCCCCTCTCCTGGAGCTCGGTTGGGCGGTTTAGACGCATCCCCACACAACCCCGATCTCGTCCACTCACATCACGGTTTTATGATCACTTACATTTCAAAATCAAGGCATGGCATATAAAAACGTTGAATGCTAGAAAACGACCACAAAAGACCAGAAGGGGAGCTTATTGCAATACGAGGTCAACAAACTGGTGGCGCAAAGTCGGATTGAGTAGGTACGAATGGAGTTGCACCTTGACCCAATATTGGAACGTGGAGAAGATTCACACTTCCTTATGAGCAGTTTAGTATTTAATTCAATGCTCTTCAACTACGAATTACGGTAGGCACGCGCACACACACACACGAGTGTTTCAATTAGATGCAAATAATTGTGCAGGAATGCCAAAATCATCAGACTCAGTGTGCTTCATTCCATTATGCTTTTTCGACTTCAAGGATTTGACCAGCAGGCGGCTGATCCTGACTTACAGAAAACAACTCTGTTTTCCCGTTTAACTTCTTTGAATAAATTTCCGAAATGAAGACTAAAATATCTTTGAAAAGTGCTTTGTGTGTAAAACAAATATGCGAGTTAATTTCAGCGCAATATCCAAAATCAAAGGGCTTTTTTATTACAAAATTGGCTTAGTTAAATAAATCTGCATTAAATGTTTCGGCTGGAGATGAATCACACGCTAGCACAAGAGTGCATGCGGTAGGCGTTAGTCCAGATATCAGCTAGACACACCGTTGAATGAAAACGAAAGAATATGATGAGTGGAAGGGACAGGTGGGTGATAATCTTCCAAGCAATGCCTGTATAATAAGATCGATAGATGGAGTGGTTTTCGGCGTATTTCAGCCCGAAGGTATTGAAAATCCACATGGCGAGGTTGAGGATAAGCAGGAAGGTGATGATGGTGCGACCCGGTTTTCTCGCCATGTGATTCACCGTGGCTGCCTGACGTCGGGAGCCCTCAAGGATTAGGAATACCTTTGAATAAAAAAGGCAGCGTTAAGTATTCAATTAAAATGATCCACAACAATATTCCTTACTGTCTAACTTCTAGCTGCTGTTATATCGCGTGTTGAAGTACCTCTACTGATTCACTGGCGTCTTACAGCTTATCTGTTTCTCTATTGGCCTGATCAAGCAAGTTACCTTGTTTTTCTGTTCTACCTAGAGCCTAGCAGACACATTCTTTCCTAATTTTTCATTATGTCGCACTGACAGTTTCCGTTCTGAAATGTCCGTCTTTCTTCAGCTACTACTTTTTGCAGCATTTAGCAAGCACAAAAACGCCACCTGTAACAGAGCCTGGACCATTTCGATGATAGCCTTTCCAACAAACATTGAACCGGCTGTTGAATTCTCTCCCTTGGCCTCAACGGCCGGAACGAGTAGGAACATGTCGTAGAAGAGCATGCCCAGCAGACCGATGAGGAGGAGGTTGTCGTCGAATGCGTCCTCCTCAGAGAGCTCACGCAAGCTAAGCACCCTCAGCTGATAGAGGGCAATGCTAGCAGCTACGATGCCGACGGAGAAGAGGGTGATGTAGCTGGCCTGGTAGAGCGTGATGGCACCGCTGTAGTTGTGGCTTCGCATGAAGATGTAGAAGAGGGCCAACACAACGAGGGTCGCCAAGAAGAGCAGGAGGCCAACGAAAAGACCTTTGTGTGCGCGGTGGCATTCCGATGGGTTGTCTCTAATCGGAAGTATGCACTTTCTTCAAATGCGTTTGTACAGTGTTATACACTGGAATATACGAGTGAAGCACGTGAAGGCAGCGGTTTTGATGGTCACCCTGATAAATGGGTGGTTTATTCCGAATCTTCATACTGATTGGTCGGTAGGTTTCACATTTCCTTCCACGCTAGTTAGTGGAATCAGCTCGTAATCTTTCAGATTTGCTATTAATTAACATATTTACGAAATCATCCGACTCAGCGAGCCTTACAATTATCTTTTTCTGCAAAAGTGCTTCTCGATCCATTTTCATTATAAAATTATGTCTTCCTAATTTAAAATAACACCAAAATACAGGTTTGTAAATATTACTTTTTTAACTTTCCAAAATATCCTCTTTTTACTCTTTAATTTGATCGATTAATCGCCAGAAATTACAAAAAATAATGTTGCTATTAAATATTGTCTTCGATGTCTTTCCAGAACTTCTTTGCCGAGAAAAGAGCTTCAAAATAAAGCCCTGATCTCCAAGCGCCCATATAAGACACACACTTAAATACAAATATAAACAAAAATTGCTAAAATTACGAATTACTCAATCTGCTTAATTGTAATTTTTCTCGACACAGTTTCATAATTATCAAGGAGATAGAACGTGTGTGGGTTTCACTACCCCTAAGTCATCACACATGTTCACACACGTTGCGCTCTATTTTAGGAATTAATTAATGCAGGAACACATCTGACCTAGGCAGGATACGCGAGCCATGCTTCTCAATAATCCCCGGTTTTCGTCTGTCATTTCTATGGCCAACGTGGCCGATGCGCTGGAACATCTTGTAGAAGATTGCGCCTGCGATGAGGCTGTACTCCACTCCGCAGGGGATGAGGTAGTGAACAAAGACGGTCTCTTGGGTGTGGCATTTGGCTAAACGGCAATTAACAGGTCATATGACAGCCTCAAGCAGCGTGCATGCAAAGGAAACTGAGACTAGTAATCGATGAACTGAGACTAGTAATCGATGAAAGTGATTTGAACTCACAATATTTGATGACTCATGCATCGAACTCATCGAATCGGTCATTTTTCGCCTTGGATGATCTCTTAGTGCTAAACAGAGCGTCCCAGGAATCGGCTTGTAATTAATATAGCCCACGGCTTAAAAGTCACCAAAATGACATGTAATTAACTGAGTCCCTACTCGTTGTGATGTATGGATTCCAAATTACAATGCTAGTCAAATTGTTACAAATGACCATGTACCAGATAGCAAAATTATTATAAGCATCAATTCCACGAAAGGACAACATAAGCGGACCAAACGACATAATTTCTTAATGCAGTTCAGACAAAAGCTTTCAGAATATTCAACAAATTTTACGAAATAGAGCAAAAATCATCTTTCGAGTCCTCCGAACCTCGTAAACAGTCGGCATTTTCGGATGGGTCTTGGCTTTGATCTCCTTACGCACCTAATTTCCAAATCGTTGAAAAAATCTGCTTTTCTTTGAGCAAGTGTAAAATATTTTGAACCTCACGATATAGTGAGGTAAGATGGAGAAATTCAAGTGAAGACGATGGAGACAGCTAGTTATTAAGCCTTGAGGATTAGATGTGGAATGCATGTGTGTATGAGTTGCTGACCTGCACAGTGGGGGTAATAGCACGTGACACACGAGACCTCTTCTTTTTTGACGAAATAAGTAGATTTCGTGCGTTCCTATCGTGGCCTGTAAAGTTTGCACCTAGACTAAATAACTCGATTTGATTTGTTGATGCGGTGGGGGCTTTGTCTATCGTTGTGATTTGGTTTGTTTGCTGATTATGGTTCCACCAATGCCAGATCTTTATATTGGTTGAGTAATAGGAAGATAGGTGAGGGGAACGTCTAGAATAACACTCATTTGTAGCTGAAATTCGAACAAAGGAAATGTCTGTCGACATGGCAGATTGGTGTTGTAAATGGGGGCTAAGACTACGGTTAAATCGGTTGATAAGAAGAACGTCAATCTACAGCTCTAAACGATTAATTTTTAATAAAAAATCAGATAAATGTTCTGTATAAAGGTCATGAAATTGTACTGGACAGTTAAGACTCCATAATAGTTTGGTCTCCCCAAAGTAGTAGAGAAGTGATTTTTAGCAAGTTTAAAAAACAAGCGCACAACTTTGGAAAGAAATGATGACAGTGATGTCATAATATTCCCATTACTATATTAATGATACGTCCGTAAAGCTGCCCAGAGTGCAAACTATTGGCGAATGCCCAAACACCAGAAAATGACATCCTCAGGGTAGTGAACGTCACCAAAATAACTAATTCAATTA